CAAAGGATGGCAATGGAAGATCTGCAGCAAGGCGTCCTTCTCTAGACTGGAGACGGCGCTGTCGGAAGGCCCAATCCCCGAAACAACTGATTGTTTTTAGTCTGCTAGCTCTTACTGCAACTTTTGCGTCGTCTTTTGCGTACTTGTTGACAAATCTCTACGGATGTTGACAGGCGACGATCATGGAATGGTTGACTTCAGGGTGTAGAGTTGCCGTCGCGTTGGCAGTTTTCCAAGCGAGACGAGTATGCCCGAGTGAGTAAACAGACGGTTCACGTCTTCTATACGTACGGAGACTGAGGATATCTTCATTCACAAGATGCTTCCGATGTAGATCTCTCGTGAGTGATTGCGCAATTCACTTCAGACCTTGATAGTCTGTTTGGAGATTGACTTAAATTCAGCATCATAGGGGACTCAATTGCCTTGTTAGTGCATTTCTAAAGGCATAGACTCTGGGCGGCTTCGGACTTAGAGTCACCCAGAATCTGGTCCGACCAAGCACATATTCAGCAAGGGAATGAGTTCGTGGTACGACTTAATGATCTCTCATTGCGCATCTAAACACTTCGTCTTCTGTGTATTAAGACGGAATACTGCCATTTGGAAGATGGAGCTGCACGGCGCGGGATCACTTGTGCTATCTTGAGTGTGACGCATCATGTCCATCTGAGCGAACAAGTTGCGCCGGAATAGCTTCAGATGGCGACCATATTTCTGGGCGTTGTTCACATTTGGTCGCTTAGAATTCATAGCGCAATGTCACACTTAAAAGATTCCCATGCGACTGTTGTCTCAACGCTCTTTGATTCATTGCTCTAGCACGCAGGATGGTTAGTTAGCTCTTGTTGGAATGGGGGTCAAAGGTGCATCCAGGGTGTCAGAGCCTGCTATGATATGGCTGAGAGACTATTTTAAGATATATTTCCTTGTTGAGTTGTACTCCTAATCCAAAGATGGGATTCCTGGTTTCAACGAGTCCAGTCTCAGGGAAATCACCCATAGGGACCATTTTCATGTTAGCCCTGTTACAACAACAGTATACGTGAATACGTGTGAAAAGGTATTGAATATATTAAGACATTATTTTATAAGCTTAATTTCTGTTATCTCCTCCTGTAGATCATTCATATTGTGTATTCAGGTGACCTCGAAGTCACAAACCTGTCGCTATTGATTGCGATACCAGAGCCTCGGGATACCAGCTTAATCGGATACCTAACAAACACAAAGATGCAGGTGAACCTGATAATGAAAGACCAAACGTCAGACTACGATGTAGATTAGCGTCTCTAAATACGCAAACCAGAGCCATGCTGAAGCCTGCAGATGAAGAGGTTCTCGACGCTGAAGCTGGGTCTGAACGAATACGATCCCAGTCAAATCGGGTGATGCTCATGAGATAAGCGAGCGAAACTGTCAGGCTTCAAGTGTGTTGAAATTGAGTTTATACAGATCTCTGCTCAGTTGAAACCTCTGGAAAATGTCCTCGTCGGAAAACCACCAGCCTTAAAGATCTCACCATCAGGTCCTCTCGGTCGCAGGTTGGGGGGGCCGACCGACAGAGCCTTCTCAACTATTTATTTAGTCGAACTCACACCGCGTCTCTCATCCCTAGTATCCATGTCCACTGCTTTTCTCAAAGTATGAGAGAACGAATAAGCTCTCGCCGTCCTCGAAGGTGATGATGCCACAGGCTGCCCTGGCCTGCCGTTCTGTGGCGTTTGCTCTCTCCCATGTCGTCCACGTGAGAATGAAAGCTTACAAAGCGACCCCAGCTCAACCAAATTGTTTTGTTGTGAGTGATTTTCATCATTTTGCGCATCACATATACATAATTCCGAGCCTGGCTTTATACGACTGTAGCGGGTGGATGAAGCGCCTGACCGGTGGTTACGAGAGTGCTAGATATACAACGGGGTTTTGCGGGCATACTTCGTATAAATTGAGTGAAGCAAAAGAAAAACTCAACGAACAAATGTGATCTTAGCATCAAACTCTTCTTTTTCGGTGCCAAGTACCGCCTCAGACAACTTTATCTCCACGTCGTGTTCTATGCTCCCGCAACTCTAACCACCAACTCACTGGCATGGTAACCTGCATGCGACTTCATAGGGCGTCATCCGGCTTCATCGTACTTATCAGTTAGAAATGCTTCTCATGATACTCAGACATCGGAATAGATGTCCGGCTTCACCATGGTTGCTGGGGAAGGACAAAGCGATCTTCAGTGGGAGCCCGTGAAAATTGGTTCATAGTGCCCCAGCCAGCCAGAACATCTTCTCATTGTGTGCTTAATAAGAGCTTGAGCCAAAAGTCATATATATAAGTGCTTGTTCTGAGGCTGAGCCTTTATGACATCATCTTTGAGGGGCAGATTGGAAGCAGAAATCCCTCGACGCCTCATCCTCCGAGAAGCCGACGAGTATATAATCAATACAAGAACGCCTTAGTCAGAACCCCCAAACAATATCTCCGGAATATCTCTCAGACACTCCGAATTGACTGAAACGACGCTGTCACAGGCATGTCGGGCAAAGACACCGGCGGTTCTATGCGGATGTACCGCGGGTACCAGCCATCGCCGTCCGTTGTCCTTGTATTTGTCTCTGCATAAGATAAGGCGGGCAACACATCGGGCAAATTTTGAGTGTGAGCCCTAGGGAGTGGAAGTACGATGTAAAATCTACAGAGTGCGGCTGTCTGAACATTGTCTCATGCTTGGAGAGAGACCAAAATAACGCGACCACCAGTGGATTTAGAGAGATCACTAGGTAAAATCAGCAACATGTTTCAACTTTTGTATTTTCTTACGGCTTCTGTTCCAATATGTGAGGCCACCCGTCCATTTAGAAACAGATATAAGATAGACCTGAGAAGTAAACGTCCCCCAGAACAGCGACCAATCCTTCGCCGATCCAGTGCTTTGATTGAAATGTATGACGTCCCAGGTGTGAGGGCATTCCATAGGACCCATCTCCTATTCCATAAGCTCTGGAGATCTCCTCGGGAGCTTTCCTCGGTATTCTGTGGATGAAGACACCTGGACAGAGATGAGAGATGCTGACGATATCTGGGGCGGTCCGACTCTTGATCACCTTTATGAGTTTCTACAACTAGGAAGCCCAGGACTGATCGGGAAGCTTGAGAGTCGCCAGCTCAAGGGATAGCTTCAATGGACAGAAGAGAGCAAGAGCAAATTTTGTTTGCGGCGTCTTCGTAAACTGCCTCGGACGCCATCTTTAGTCTTGTTAGGGCTTCTGCCGGGCTACTTCCGGGTAAAGGCGGCATGGAGGCCTTGGACACGACTCTGTATTGATGGCGAAGGACATGTTTAGGAGCTTCGGACGCAGCCTCGAACGCAGCCTCGAACGCAGCCATATTTGAAGTGAACCACACCAGATTGCCTAACTTGCGATGTCTTCCGTTTCTATTCTTCATCAACCAAGCCTCATTCATGCATCTAATCCAACTCGCATGCGCATTGTCAACCAAGTGCGTACGATGACACCATGCAAGCATGTCTGGTTATGTCCTTGAAGTATTAAAAGCAATACAACGGCACCATTTCCATGGAAAGCACTTCTGCGACAGCGTATTGCTACCCGTGCCTGCACGGCTTTTGGAGTACCGTGATGCTCGTGAATGCCGTTTGCGATGCACCTTCACCAGATCACCAGAGTTAAATTGTCAAGAAAGGGAAAACACCTAAGAGTCCTTGAGAACAGGTTTGAGCCATATACAAGAATGGGGTCTCTCAATGTGCTTAGCCTGGCCCAATCATGCTCAGTCGAGGACTTCAGCTGCCAGACATTGAGTGAACTTGCGAACTCCGTGTACCTGTCGGAAATACCGTCGGAAGAAACTATAAAAGTGCACAAGATTCCGGTACTCAAGTCGAAGCAGACAAGGGATGAGGTAGAAGCGATGGGTTATTGTCCGGGTATGAACATGCGATCATGCCGAGGCGGTAACTTCAGACTTCGTGCGATCTTACACGGCCGTCTGTATTTCTTCCCTTGATGTCACACAAATCGACATTTACGTATTGGTTTTAAAAAAAACAATAACCGACGTACAATATGGAGAGACGAGGGGTCAGCACGATTAAAAAGACATAGGCATGAGCAGGTCTACGCTCGTGTATGCAAGGATCGGGCTACGAAAGTAAATCAGCTGCCTCTTCAGTCAAAAATGCATTGCTTAACAGAAGCAGTTATGGAAATTCTTCATCCATTTGTGTTGTGACGTAGTCGAAGCCATATTTTCTCAGTTTTTATAGTGAAACATACACTCTGTTGTGTTGACGGCGCCGGTATCGGTAGCGATTAACAACCCGAACCGGTTGCGGAAACCCCGATTACTTGCGATTGACAACTTAGTAACCAGGGATCTTGGTTATGGCGACAATGTGTTGAGTCATTCGACGCGCCTATCTGATACAGGAGCTCTATGAAGCTCAAGGACTACAACTGTGCCAATCTTGTGTCAGGACTGGACAACTGATTTACCATTTAGAATTTATACATAAGTTCAAGAGATTCGAGGCTTTGAACTTGCTGTTTTAGGTAGGTCGCGCGAGCGAGCAGCTGATCATCAACGGTTCTGCTCACAGCGAGTCATCGGCTTGGCCGATAGCGCTTCCCTAGGCCTGAAGCTGTTCGTAACAGAAGCACGTCCATAAGACACAGCACTGCAAACTTAGTTTAATGGGCACCGCTCTCTGTGTCGCTTGGAGTATAAAGGCTGCGCCTACCTTTCACACATGCGCTGGAATAGGCGCATCTTGCCATCTTGGGAGTTTTACGGCAAGTACGAGTAACAAATTTCATCAAGATGTAGAAATATATAGAGAGAGAGATAGAGACAGAGAGAAAGAAGGAAATGTCTCTACTTCTACACACACTCGTTTTCCTCCACTGCCTGTCCATTTATCAGAATCCCACGTTCATTAAAGACATTCGTTTTTCCAACTCTCTCGCAACATCAACCTATTCAAGATGAAAACCACCTTCGCTTTCCTGACCTTGCTTCTGTATGTTGGCGTCACCTCGCAATCAGCCTTATAACAACAAGCTGCGGATCATTACTAACTCATCTAGCGCGGCCATCGCAAGCGCTGACAAGCACCGTCTCTGTGCTTGCCGTGATAATGGAGCCACAGTAACCAGCGACGAATACACCAAAAGTGTCGTCTACGCCGCCAGCGGCAAATTTGTGTTCAGTCAGTTTGCGACTTCTCCATGACACGCCTCCTATCCTCGGACGTTAACACCCCCACAGGTGGAAAGAAGTGGACTAAAGACGATGGGGCGGAGTTCGAAGGAGTATACGTAATTTCTATTCAATTCCCAAGCATTCGCTGTTGTTGCTAACCACAGAGCAGTATCATGCCATTGAGGGCTCGGTCAACGGCGGTGAAGACGATGGTTGGGTCGGTGGCAATGAGTCAGCCCAGCTCTGTAGACCTCTCAAGGAGGGTCCTGGTTTTTCACACGAGCGAAGCACATGCTTCACGCCCAAGGACGTCGTCGACTGGCGGGACTGTGGCGCTGACGGGAACTGCTTTACTTCCAAGGCTGCCAAGACTGACGGATTCGGAAAGCCGGTGGCTTGAGCTGCCAAGAGCTAGATACAATTCGAGAGCTTCGTCTTAGGCCTAGTAGCATTATATATCAAAGGTATACATGTATGTTTGTGTTCCACGCCTCTGTCTCGAGCAATCTAGACGACATATTTTCCGATGAGATGCTCAACCAAGACGTTCCCGAAGTTGGACCAAGCAGTGCGCCAGCTCATTCTTGCTCCTTGCGCATGCAAACACGAACATATCTGGACGCAAGACAACGAACTTGGCAGATGAGCCTAGTCGAGAAAGATACGACGTGCTGTTGTACCCGGGAGCCAGGGGTGCCTCGATTCCAGAAGTTGGCACAGGCGAGAAGACCTCCCACTTGCTCTGTTCTTCTGTCGAGAGCTTGACCGCTGTGTACGACTCTCCGTCCTGTGGATTATAGATGACGATGGATTCCTCTGACAAGACATCGGGGTCTAAAGACGCTCCCGAGATAGCTTCTTTAGCTTCCGCGTACGACTCGCTCGTCTCCGTTGAATCGTCGTTGCTGATGAGAAGAAGCGTGAAGATGGTACCGCACTGGCGAAGCAGATCGTCAGACAAAATCGGCGACTGGCTGAGCGAGGAGCGGACATGTATCTGCGCCAGTCGGGCACCGCCGTTGTAAGCCTTGAGAAAGAACCCGCCAGCAACGCCACAGAAACCACGCCGCTCCTGCTGGGCCGCCAGATCGTATCTGCGAAGCATGGGGATCGAGTTGATGAATCCCTGCAGTTTAGCCAGTGCCAGAATCCACAGGGTCGGTTGGCTGTTGCACACGGTGCCGGAGACCATAGACATCCTAGCAGCGTCATCCACGCTGTGGCGGCGCTCAGCTGCCCATGATTCCAGAATCGCAGCGTTGGTTTCCGGCTCCGCGTGGGTGCGGAGGAGCAGGGCCAGCCGCCATGCAAGCTGGTGCGCGTCGCGCACGCCGCTCGCGATGCCCTGGCCAGCGAACGGCGGGAAGACGTGCGCGGCGTCGCCAATTAGGAGGGTGCGCTTGTCGTACCACCGGTTGACGCACTTGTGCACGAACTTGAAGGGACGACAGCGCAGGATCTCGATGCAGTCGCGGGGATACTCGACGGCCTCGTCGAAGCGGTGGCCGCGGACGGGGTCCTCTTTGAGGGTGATGCTTTGGGATATGTGTTCCCAGAAGAGCTCTTCCGGGTATATCGGGCCTCCGAACTCGTCGACGCGGAACTCGTGGCGCCATGTCCGGTCGGCGTGGGGGCCAAATCTGCCTGTTGCGGTCGGCCTGCCGGGCGGGCTGCAGAAGTGCCAGCCCACGGGCCAGAATAGGTCGTAGACCTCGTCAGGGGTGTATCCGTACTTCCAGAGGGGAAAGGTCGGGTGTGTTTGCGGCGTCGGGAGGGTCATTTTGAGATTCGCGGCGACCCATACCCCTTCGTAGGGGTAGACGCCGGCTTCCTGCTTGATTCCGGCGGTTGGTTCCAGGAAGTGTTTGCGGACGATGCCCGTCTTGCCGTCGGCGCCAAGTAGCCATTGTCCTCTAATGACGCGGCGAGACTTTTGGGCGTCCAAATATTCGACGGTTGGCGGCACCTCACTAGATCTTCCGATTACCGTGCAATTTGTGCGTAATGAGCAGTAGCTCGTCTTCTCGATCGCGCGTCTCAGGGCGTGCTCTGGCAAGGTCAGGTCAGCACAAACCTTCCAGGAGACGAGATCGATCGAACCTAGCTTGGGCTGGTTTTGGAGAAAGCCTTCGGGCAAAGACTGTTCGAGGCTGTTGGCGGTGGTGATTTCCATCCGGTAGAAAGGGGTCGTGTTGAAGGTTGAGTGGTGAAAGTTGACGTGAGGCGGCTCTTTTGATTTCCATAGGTTGTCAGCAAGTGGTCAGAACTTTGCTTTGGGCGATCAACTCGTTGCACCTACCGTGGCCGACTTGGTTCATTTCATGACCGATTCCGATGGCGTGAAAGATTCTTACAGCATCTCCTGTGAGCCAAACGCCTCGCGGATCCGTGGTCACCTCTGCTGCCTTCTCCAGGATGACTGACTGTGTCTCAAGTCAGTCTCAGTCGAACATTGCGCACATGAAATCGTCGCGAAATCGCCGCCAAGTCACCAGCTTACATGAATCTGGTGTTGCGCCAACGACAATCCCAGGGCAAGGCCGGCGGGCCCTCCCCCGACAATGACGACCTGTGTCTCCTCCATGGTGTTCAGATGGTGTTTCGCGCTCGTCGTACGGTCAATGAACTAGCTTCGGTACTGATTTGACTGATAATTGGTATTTCAATCCCACAAAAATCGAAAACAAGAGCCCTCAAATACAGATCGTTCCCGAATCGCGTGAGCCGACTGCCTCTCAACGTTGGGGTCCTCGCACTTACACGCATTACTCTTCATCCCCACCTTTCCCGAAGTACCTAACACGAGCCGAACCGCTGATGCCGAATCGAGCTATGTTCACTAGCTAACGACCAATCAGAGATGTTCCGCGGCACATCTTACAGAAACCTTGTCCAGCGCTACGGCGGTGTGGATCCTCCGACGTTGTCCGTGGCAGTCCATGCGAATTCGCGGACTTTAGTGACATGCCGCGGCAGATGGAGCTGATCCCGCCGAGGGAGGGTTTACTACCTTATTCGCAGCGGCGGCAGCTCCGAAGATCCTCTAGCAGGAGCGCTGCAGGGTCTGGACCCGGACGATCATGGAGATTCGCCTGTAACATGTAGTCTGTCGGTCACTGAATCTCTTAGAAAGACCGTCTTGGCGGTCAATTGAAGGTTGTGGCGGGGTTGCTTTCATGCCGGCCGGGAGAGCTGTACGAATCTCCCCGAGCTCGCCGTCGCTGTGACCCACAATCTCCGCAGCCGACTCGGGACCACTCCGTCCGGGTGGGGCTTCCACTGGAACTCCGTGAATGATCCAGGTCTACCCGATGGAATCATAGAGAATGATAACAACATCACAACAAGGCTACGCCATCACATTGAACGACTTTAATATAGGGATTAGATGGTGATTGAGGTATCTGCAGCGGTCTTCCGAAGCACATTACTCTTGAACATAGCTTTACGCATTTGCACCGTTGCCTCGATGTACTGACAGCCATTGTTGATGATTGATATGATCAAACTCTTGATGTTCATTTCGCACAGTCTAATTCAAGGACTGCCTTCATGAATCATTTCCTGGGGCGCCCCAAGCGGTTAAGCTTGACTTGACGAGAGAAGAACCAGTTCTACTCAATGTGTCAGATGCAATGTTCAACAGTAAATGATGGAGCACTATTGAATATCACATACCAGAAACCACAAAGGTGAAAACATGACAATTAAATTGAGTATCCACGCCAGCTTCCCCTCCCATATCTCATCCCGCCTTCGCTTCCGGAGCAGCTGCTCGACAACGGACTCGGCATACGCTCGCGCAGGCATGCCGTTCTGGTTCCCCTCGAACTTGATGCGCTCAATGTCCTTCTTGATCGCGAGATACGGCGAACCCTTCGGGGCGTCGAGGCCGTGATGGAGGAGGTTGCTGCGCACGAATCCGGTGACGACCTCCACGACCTCCACCCCGAATGGTTGCACCTCCTGAGCTCGTCTTAGACAAAAGCACACATCACAAGGAACTAGAACTCACCAGTCGTAACGTCTTCGTATACTGGCTCAACGCCGCCTTGGAGGCATTATACACACACTGCCACGCCACCGGCACATCCCTCGTCACGCTCCCAATCTGCACGATCCGTCCGCGGGGCGCCTCGCACAGGTACGGCAGGAACAGCTGGCACAGCCTCATCACAGCGAGCACATTCACCGCAAACACCTTCTCCGCCTCCGCGATGTCGAGCTCCAGCGCCGTCGCGGCGTAGTGCGTGCCCGCGTTGTTGACCAGCACGTCCAGCCGGCCGCCCGTGCGCGCGAGCACGGCGTCGCGGAAGGAGTCCAGGCCGGTCAGGTTGCCGAGCTCGAGGGGCAGGGAGATGATGTTGTCGTGGCGCTTGGTGAGGTGCGCGAGGGAGGAGGTTTGCCGCGCGGTCGCGACGACGGTGAAGTTGCGTGAGGCGAAGGCGAGGGCGAGGGATTCGCCTATGCCGCTGCTGCAACCTGTGATGAGGACGACGGGGCGAGGGGCGGGTGTGGGCATTGTTGGGGCTGGAAGGATGCGAGTAGCGAGATCGTCTCAACAAGTCGGTTTGGTATCTTGGTCTGGAAAGTATGGGACGTGCTCTGGAGGTCATTTGTAGGACATCCACCCGTGGACATGGAGGTGTGGCGAAGGAAAGATGCTCCGACGGCCCCCGCTTTTCCGGCGCCGGGGGGTTGAGAGTTGCTCCGACGGGGAAGATGTTGTCGGCAGAACTCAACAACCGTAATTACATCGAACAATGGGTTTTATGTGTCTCGCGGAAGACCAGATCGCTCACGTGGCATGGAATGTAGATCTACCCAATTTAGTCCATGGCCGTGAGCTACACATCTTGATAGAATTTCCCAAGCACCCGGCCTCAACGGCATTCCCTCGCGTAACCGACCGCCGGCCGGCCGTCAAATACTCCAAGCAAACCCCCCAATCCAACAACCTCATCCCGAACGCATTTGAACCCATTCTCCCCCCTTTCAAGCCATGTCGCTGGCACTCCAACTCATCGTCACCGTCCTCGCAAAGCTCCCCAAACCAATCCGAGAGGCCATCCTGCCCGACATGCGCATCCCGCCCATCGCCAACGACCCCTCCAAGGTCCAGCTCGCGCGCCCGGGGCACATATACGTCGACCACCCGGACCTGGACGAGTTCGCCAAGTTCGCCGCCGACTTTGGCTTCGTCGAGGAGGCGCGCGCCGGGAACGACACGATCTACTACCGCGGCTACGGCCGGGACCCGTACGTGTACGTCGCGAGCAGGAGCAAGGACGGCAAGCCCCGGTTCCGCGGCGCGGCGTTCGTGGCGGCGTCGCAGGAGGAGTTTGACAAGGCGGCCAAGATGGAGGGCGCAAGGGTGGGCTCGATTGAGTATGCCCCTGGCGGCGGGAGCATCGTCACGTTCAACAGGCCGGATGATATGTTCTTTCATGTTATATATGGCCAGAAAGAGCGCAAGCCGGAGTCGCAGGAGCCATCTGCCACGCATGAAGAGGTCGGTCCTTTCAACAAGCCATTCAAGAAGCCGAGACAAGGTAAGCCAACCTCTCCTCGATGTCAGAGCCCAAACTCCATTGCTCACAAGTTCCTGTTCAGGAGCCTTCCAGCGCTACCACCCTGGCCCCGCCCTCGTACACAAGCTGGGCCACTACGGCTACGTCGTCCCCGACTTCGACAACGAGCTGGCGTGGTACACGTCCCACTTCAACTTCGTGCCGTCCGACATCCTGCACCACTGGGACTTTGACAACATGGACGTCATGACCTTCATGCACCTGGACCTCGGCGACGCCTTCTCGGACCACCACTCCTTCTTCATGCAGCGCGCGGAGCCGCACGTCAAGAAGGCCTTCTGCCACCACACGTCCTTCGAGGTGGCCGACTTCGACACGCAGCTGCTGGGGCACGACTGGCTCGCCAAGCGCGGGTGGCACAGCGTCTGGGGCGTCGGCCGGCACGTGCTGGGCAGCCAGATCTTTGACTACTGGGCGGACCCGAGCGGGTTCAAGATTGAGCATTATGCGGATGGGGATGTGGTGAACAGGCACACGCCGACGTCGCGGGACGTGGTGGGGCCGTTTTCGATCTGGGGGCCGGAGGTGCCGAAGGACTTTGGGGAGAAGATTCCCAAGGATTGGCCGGTGAAGAAGCTTTGAGAGGGGGCTTTTCGGGTTTTGTTTTCGTATAGAGTGGACTGATATTCAGTGTCTGAACCATTGGTTAGGGATGGAAATTTTGTAACAAATGCTTCGTAGCGAATGACAGGCTGTACTTACGGTATGTGATATACGGGAAAACGGGCGTGAATATTCTGGAGGCTCCGGTTGTTCATTACAAACACGTAAATGGAAGCAGTCTTTCACCCTCCCAAGGTTTCCACATCTATCTATCATGGCGTCTCTAAAAGCCGGGTTTCGCAACTTTATCAGGAAGTTGTGCAATGGCCCGGGAGACAACTCGGTCAGCTTTCTCTGCAAAGTTGCGTACATCATTGGCAATTCTCGGCGTGCAAAGCATTGGAGGTCAGGAATTGCAACCACCTAGGATGCAGCGGACTTTGGAAATGGAGAAACACGGCACGGATTTGTTGGTATCCGACAGGGCCGTTAAGAGACTCTTTGAAGCTTTTGAACGAGACTTTCCAAGAGTGATGTTAGTTGAACAACAGCCCAAATATATCATGCGCAGCAATACAATCGAATGCAGCAGCACCGCAAACAAGGGCGGAATTGACTCACGAATCAGGAGGCGCGGCATGGTCCACGACTTGGCAAACTGCTCAAGGAAAAGCAACAAGACCGTCTCGCAGTGCTCAATCTCCGTACGCAGGTCATCGCCAATCTCAGCAGCAGCAGTATCACTGTTAAACTTGAGGTGCAGGTCCAGAAATATGAGCGCGATGAAGGCGATGATGGACACCGCCGGGTCGACGCTGAGGAAGAAGCTGCTGTTCCACTGCTTGGCGATGGCCGCCACGTCCTGGCAGATCTCCAGGACCTGCTGCCACTTGAGCAGCCAGGCGCGCTCCTCCGACAGGCGCCGGCAGTTGATGAGCGTCATGAGCATCTGCGCCATGTGCAGGTGCATGGCGGTGACGAGGCGGAAGTGGTGGGCTGCGGCGGACTCGTTCGCAAAGGCGTTGCGGCGGGGGTTGAAGAGGTTTCCCGGCAGGGCGAGGCGGACCTCGGAGATGCGCCGCTCCGTGTCGGCGACGACTTTGGCGCAGTCGTCCTGCCTGCCGAGGACGTGCAGCCGGAGCGCGCGTCCGGCGTGGCGCAGGACGGTGATGCTTATGATGTGGATCTCGAGGCCGAGAGTCTGCCGCGGGGAGTCTGATAATAGCTTCTGAGCGAGATGGAGCAGACCGTCTTGGCGGTAAGGTAGGTAGAATTCTCGGTTCTGTTCCGTTGGCAGGCCTTGTGGGAGGGCGGTGTTGATGAGCCCCTCGTCGATTTCATAGGGCATCCCGGTCGAGACACTGGCGTAGGAATCGAGGGCGTAGATGCACCACCATACTAGACGCCATTCCTCCAGTCTGTCTTTGCTCAATATCGTCCATGGCGGGAC